GTCTATCAGGCCACAATGATAAAGAAGTTTACTAAATAAGTAGCAACAATAAGGCCCATGAAGTTTGCAGGGACTTACTCCCCTGTAAACATGGATAGGTTCAGGGTTCCTGCTGCTAAAAAACCTCAGCTGGATTCACACATTTTTGAGGTGATGAAGTTCGCACACAATTATTTCTCACCTCATTTTCACATGTTGGGGCTATTTATGTGAAAACTGTCCCATATGAAAAACTGAAAAGTTACCTCATCAGACAAAGTGCTTGAAAACTTGAAAACATGGTGGGAAATTCACTGTGTATGAATCAGAATTAACACAGCTGCTCCTCTGGAATCTGTTTCATTGTTACTGAAGAATTCAAAAGAAATTTTTTGCTAAGTAATCATTACGCCAGGCATACTTGTTTAAAAAGCCTGAAGCTCATAGAGATTTTAAATAGTGGGTGGGAACATTCAAACATTGACTCTGCCCTTCAGTCTGAAGTGTCCAGGCTAGCAAGAGTGGCATAGATGAGTCTGTCGGTCATGTAGTACAGCTCCAAATTTTGAATCCTGTACTACAGGTTTTGTGTAAATGATTTTGCTGCCTCTCCTATGACAAGGCAATGAAGCTCTGGAAGTCCCTCCAAAAGCTGCTCCTGAGGGCCAGGTGTGGTGAGGTGCAATTTTCGCCAGTTCCCCCTTCTGGCTGCAGTCTCACCTGTGCCTTATTCCACATTGTTCCAGACTCCAGAGGAAGCTTCCAACCCTCAAGAATGACATTCCATGGGACTTAGGGGGCTAGAGTGGGGGAGAGGTGTCAAAAATCCCTTCCACAAAGTTGCTCCATTTGTAGTGGTATAGGATCCAGCCCTAATAGTTGAAGAAGGGAGATGATGAACCAGAAAAGGCCCTGCATTACCCTTTTGGCTGAGATATTAGTGTGAGAACAGGCAAGGCTAGTGTGATGTTGACCCATTTTAAATAACATGCAGCCTGTGTAAGACCAGGCATGTAGTCACTTCACTGTGGGCAGCTGGATTTGTGACAGCTTCAAAAAAGCCAAAACTGGAAACATGCTGTGAGCAATCTAGAGAAAGCTAGGTTCAATTACATGCCATTTAAGGTGATTTCAAGGGATTTAAGCACAGCTAGGATTTTTACATTGCATTTATTGGTAGGTTGATCCCAGCAAACGTTCACTAATTTCAGTTTGGTTTACAGGGAAAAATAGATGCAGAAGGACAATAGGCCTTTCAGGTAGGTAGGTAGATGTATGTCAGCAGGGTCCCAAGGAGCATATACAATAGAACTGCATGTCGCTCAGAGAGGAGTGAAAGTGCATGGATTTGTAGGAGCCAAGGAAGAAAGAAACCAACAAGTAATAACAAGGGCATGGGAGGGAATTATGTGAACAAGGTCCTAGGAAGAAAAGGCTCAGGTGGTCTGTGCTTCTAGCAGTGCATGAGGGATTATATCAGTAATTTTTTTTTTAAAAAAGTGATCCTTACATTTTATTTGGTTTGTTTGGTGGACAAAAGAAATAAAAAGAAACAGACCAATTTAAATACTATATCTCATTATTAGTAGAACTAATGACACACTGCAAATGTGCTGTTATATTTCTGACCCACAATAAAACATGAGACCAGTCTAATTCAAAATGAACTGAAGGTGAACCTGCTTCACTAGTACTGTCTTTGAGAAACAGATAGGCTTGCAAAGTCCCTCCAGGGGGTGGCGAAACCCCCGCCCCAGAGGCCCGTTCCCCGCCGCCAGCGGATCAGGCCCCGGGGGGAGCCCCACCCCAACGTGCGTGTCACCCGGAAGTGACGCGACCACGCCGGGCACGCTGGGGGTGGGGCCACGGTCATCCGAGGGAAAACTCTATGGTTTTCCCTCGGATGGTCATGGCCCCGCCCCCAGCGTGCCCGGCGTCGTCACGTCACTTCCGGGTGACGTGCATGCAGTGTGCGCATGCTTCGGGTGCGCGCGCTCCAGACGTCAGCCGGGAGTCCCCCGCTGCGGCACAACACCCGACTTGGCAACCCTAGAAACAGATTTGAGATGTTCAACAATGATGGCTAAGGGCCTCAAAACCCTCTGAGAGGGCGTGGTCAGACCAGTACTGTCTAGGGTCTGAGGAAGAGACAGGCCTTTCTCAACACCTGCCTGCTATTGGAGGCCCTTGTTACATAAAATAAAAATGGAATTCATATAGTAACAACATTTACAACCCCCAGCACAAATGGTCATTAACTCACAGAATGAAAATATATACATATTCACAAGCACGTGACTTTAGGAATGTAGTCATAAGCCAAAATGCTTTCCCATGTATCCAAAGACCCTCAAGGCCATCAGTGTCAATATTAACACAAATATAATCTCATCATTTTCCTTAAATATGGAACTCAGTTCCATTACTATTTTAAAGGAAGTAAGGGATGCAGATCAAATGTACAGATGTTCACATGGGTTTAGAAATTTTAAATAAAAAAGCTAATTA